TGGACAGGCGAGCCTCAGTTTGACCAGAGTGGTGAGAAATACAGTCATGTACAGTACACAGTACCTGAGGGATGTGCGTGTATTAGAGGTGGAGGCAGTACATGGCAGTACAGTACAGTACAGTACAGTACAGTACAGTACTCTGAACTGTTACTTCTAAACACAGTAATACTGCAGGCAGAAACTCAGTGGATATCGCTCTGACTGTTTGGGTTGTATATGAATTATTTTTCAGGTCCAACGACGCACCTGCAGCCAATCAGCTGTCAGTCTATTTAAACCCTGTCTGTGGGTCGGTCTGGTCTGTGAGTCTGGTCAGTGTCTGTGAGCCTGGTCAGTGTCTGTGTCGCTGCTGTTTGTTTTAAATCTCTTTGTCAGAATGTTTCCTGTTCATCAGAATGATTTTCAACCGTTGGCTCAGTGGTTTTGGCCTGAACCTGACCTGAGGTCGAGGTCATCTCAGCGTCTCTGTTTCCTGACCATCAAGGTTTTTGTGAAGCTGTCGTTCAATGACAGAACCAAGGTCTCCCTGTGATCTGTGGCAGGGTGTTCAACAGGGGGTGTGCAGTCCCTAAGCAGTCCATGTGGGTGTTGGTTTGTTGGTCGGACATTTTTTTTGCTATTGTTTGATTTCATTAGCTTAGCATCGGATGCAAAACCAGTTGTTTTTGTCTTTTATCATCTGATGGGGAGTGAAGTTCAGGAGTTCAGGCAAAATGCGAACAGATGAGAGAAACATTCCAACAGACCCTCAGAGATATTCTTGGTTTCTGTCAAAAACACCGACTGACTTCCAGCCAGAAGTCGAGAAGATGAAAGTCCACCGTACGTGACACGGGCTAATCCTGAACAACATACGTTATCGGTTCAAATCCCAAACGTTCCTCCTTCTTCTCAAAGACCTGATGAACAACAGCTGTGGACTGTTCCCCACAGAGGGGAGGAGGTCTGATGATTCTCCAACCGTCTGTTGTTTAACCAAACATCAGAAAGCAGCAGACCCCCCACCTACCCCCCCTCACCCCCTCTCCTCCTCCTCCCTCTTCTTTGTTCAGTGACAACATTTTAGACCTGGGAGAAGTTGCAGTGGGAACTTACAGTTGTAGATCTGACGACTGATACTGCAGCGCTCCCTGAACTTTTTCCTCCTGTTACGTAATCACATGACTCAACACCAGTCTTTATTGACTGAGCTTGGACTTGTTACCATAACAGAGACATCATTTCATTCCTTCCCTCTCATCACATGGAAGTTGTTTTCCCTCATTAGAAGACAAATGAGGTCAGGAAAGTGGTGTGGAAATGAATGGGTCTGAAATTTAAAAATTAAAAAAAAAAAGTTTTCCAAGTGTTGAAAAAGGAGCTGTTGGATCTTGGAAACCGGGTGATGCCTTACCTTTGTTGAAAAATGTCTGAAATATGATTCGTAGTGGACCAAAGGTTAGCCTAGTGACAGTCCAGAAACAGCCATGCTAGCCAGTTAGCAAAGATGGCTAAGAGTTAAAAACAGCAACGTTGCAACAAATGACTAAAACATTATGGTCACACGATGATTCAAAGTTGGTTCAGAAACCGCCGTAAACACAGTACAGGCTTGTGTTTAGAAGCATGTCATTTTCAGCTGGGAGTGTGTAACAGTTAGCATAAATAGCCATAATCTGGCTAACCACACAGACTGCTTAAAGTTTGCCTTCACGTTCAATAAAAGATTTGCTACAGAACGCAGACGAGACAGAGCAGCGTTCACTTCCTGTTTATTTCCTTCTGGTCTGTGACCTGAACATGTTGAGAGTGCAGTAACACGTACACACAGCTAGGGCAGATACTGTAGATATGAAGTTACTGTAGTGTCTACTGTGAGGCTGTGACCTGTGTTACCGACGACACACACACACACACACACACACTCAGCTCTTCCACGTCTGTTCCACGTTCTCTGGTTCTCTATTCTGGTGCCAAAAGACACAGGATTCTTGGCTCCACCTCAGAGGAGATGAAATAAAATTTCCTCCGACCTCCATCTCAGTTAATGAACGTTCTACAGATGGGAATCAGGTTCACGATGTCCCCGTCTGATGAAGTCATGGCTAAAATTACAACTCTCTCTCTGTCCCCGAAACATCGTTCTCAAGCTTTCATGGCGTTCCAGAAATTCCATGACTTGCGTGTGTGTGTGTGTGTGTGTGTGTAGGTCAGGACTACTGCAGCAGCTCACTCTAAAACTCTACAAACTCATGTAGAATAAAGCACAAATGTATGCACTTGGCACAAGGTGACGATTTAACCTGACGTTCTACATACTCAACAGGTGAGGGCAGCAAAGTCACAAACCTTGACTGTGCATTCACACTACGAGCACAAATGGCATAGTAACTGGGTCAAAAGCACAATTGCATGCTGGGATTTGGCAACAAAAAAACATTGTATTTGTGAATACATTCTAAATACACTGGCAGATACTGTGTATTTTCATGTACAATTGTGCAAATATTACTCGTAATGGCGTGTACAAATAGACCAAGTACATTGATCACAAAGATACAGAGTAATTTTGTCACAGGCGTACAGCTCCATAGAGCAGTGGGCGCTCGGTGTGGTAGTACAGAATATTACCCTCTGACCTGTGGCCCAGAGGTCAAAGGACTGGGCGTGTCTTAATTCCTTCATCCTACAGGGCGGCGGTGTGTTGATGGTCACAGTGTGAATACACAGTTAGGATTTGGGCAAATTGGTGAATTTGGCAAAAAATGTAACAGAGAAAAGACGGTAACGAGGTAAACATTGGTCCATTTAAAGATTGGCATTTTACTAAGTCTAAATAATAATATAATAGATGATGATGATGATGATGATGATGGCGATCTCTAAAGTCAAGGTGGTGTGGTCCTTCTACTTCGAGATGATGGCGATGTGGTTTGTGGTCCTCCTGTCGTTTTTACCAGTTGTCCAGGAAGTCAAAGCCGGTCTTCAGGATGTTGCTGCTCGTGTTGAACTGAGGGGAAAAGAAACAACGACAACATTGACGCTCAGTTGTAGGAACTGTTTTTTTCCTAAAATACCCTGGGGTGTGTTTGTGGACTCACCTGGGCAAAGGTGGGACTGCCGCCCGGGTTGGGAGCAGGCTCCTCCTCCTTCTCCACACTGGACTGGAGGCTGGAGGGCGGCTTGGACAACAGGCTGGAGGAGAACATCTCGTCCAGGGTGTTGCTGACAGAAGGCAAAGTGCTCTGAGATCGTTCCCATCCCGCGCTGGACGAGGGCACGCTGCCGGGCGGCGGGACGGGGTTAGAGATGGAGATGGCCGCCGGCGGGGCGGTGACGGCCGAGGGAGCCGGGGGCTGGGGGGCGGGAGGCCTCGGTGCTCTCTGCTTTGTGGGTCTGGACACAGCCTGAGGTTGGGGCTCGGCCGGTTCAGGATCCTTGGAGATGACAGAAGACGTCTCCTGTTGGAGGAGGACATGAAGTCTGTGATCGGGGATCAGTTCCACGGTGGTCGACGGGACGGCTTTAGGACTCACCTGTCTGAGGTACGAGGGCAGAGGTTTCTCTCCTTTCTCAATGGACTTGATCTGACTGGGTGTCAGGGACTGGAAGTCGGCCTGCTCCCCCTCCAGCCTGGAGCGCTCTGCTGTGATTTTCCAGAAAGATGATTCCTCCTCGGGCTTCCTGTTCTCACTGATGGTCACCTTCACCAAAAACAAACAAACAAACAACATTCACGTTAAATTCTCAGCCAAAATGTGTTGATGAAAAAAAACCAAACAACAGTCACTGAACCTTGGTTCCCAGCTGGTTGGAATGAGGGGTCTTAGCAGCCTTGGTCTCTGCCTGAGTGGCAGAAATCACCGCATCTCCAGGACCTGAAGACAAACTGAACTCCAGCTGACTCTAAAAAAAAAAAAAAGAAAAACCATGAGAGGAAACTCATCTTCAGTCATAGTCATTTAGGACATTCATTTAGTGTGTGTGTGTGGATTATTGTTGTGATCTTATTTTACCCTGGTTTCCCATGAGAACGGTGCAGAGTGCTCATCCTGCCAGGTTATATCCTTCAGAGAGACCAAGGGAGAGAAAGGGGGGTGAGAAGGGGTGACGGCTGTAGTTACAGGGTCAGTTTGACACATCCCTGCCTTCAGAGTGAAACTTTCTCTACATCAGCCTGAGGGCTCACTCTGTCCTCTTTACCAAACCACAGACCCTGTGTCAGTACTGTGTCACAGAGGAGAATGGAAATAACAGTAGGCTATAAGATTAGTGTGGTGCAAAATGATCAGTGTGCAAATGTGCTTGTTTTTTTAAAGAATATAAATTTGTTCTGTGGTAATTTGCTAAGGGATGCACTGAAAAAAACTCACTTAATATATGATAATAAAAGTAATAATTACTTTGGAATATTTACAATTTTCACCGATATTTTCTATGACATTGTCCGCATTTGTTATTATTTGTTATTTACAACAAACCACACTCGTTACTTCTCACCAATGTTCTTTGCATTTAATGAAATTAATCCGTTTTTTCATTCAGTATAAGAAACAGGCTTTGATTTTATGACGTCACTACAACGTCTGCCAAAATATTTTTACGGCTACGTGGCTAACCGGCTAAACGGGCCGCCAGTTGCACTCATGAAAGCGAACGAAAACGTAGAAGATTAGTTGTAATACCTCGTCCCCAAAACGAACGATTTTCTGGCCGGTCTGGATGAGCAGTTTCGGATAGCACACCACTTCGTCTCGCTCCACCCGGTGCATAGCGTACCGGGCTCGGATGTGCGGGTCCATCATCCAGTTGTCGATGGCGGTGTCCTGCTCCTGCGGCGTCATTTTGTCCCACGAAGAGCCGTGTTTGGTCTTGATCTTCTCCCGTTCCTGCATGATCTTCTTGGCCATGGAGTTGATGGAGGAGAAGTACTCCAACTTCTTCTGCTCCATCCTGTGGGCATCGAGCCCCGCCACAGTCGCGGTGGCCATTTTTGTTTGTACTGACAGCTCCCTATAGCAGCTGTTGTTGTTGATGTTGTCGTGAGGAGCAGGAAGGGGAAGTGCTCTACTTTGTGGGCGGGGTTTAACGTCCCGTCCGGTATATTTGGGCCTCTGGTGCCATCTTGTGGCCTTTTTTTTAAAATATGCAACAGCTCTACGATGGATCTACTTTTAAATTAAATTATTTTTATATTATTTGTGATTTTGTCGTCACAATATAATAATATAAACAAAACGTAATACATTCAAGTATCCCTGTTAGTCCTGTTTAATGGTTTACATGAATTATGAAGCTACTGATGATGTTAAGTTTTCAAACTTTAATAATGGCTAATTCACATTTTTGGCTAAGTCCCGCTTGTCCTGACATAACCTTGCATTTATATATAATTATATATAATAATTATTAATAGATGGATAAAAATAAATCAGACTAAAATATCTCACTCACTGGGCTCAGCTGTGCTTTATTCAACTTTTCACGTCAGTAATCACTGACACATACACAGTTGTACTGTAGTAGCCAGGTCAAAATACAAAACAAATCAAAAATACAAAACAAATTTTGGACTTACAAATATTTACAATTTTATAAAAGAAGAGAAGAATTCAGAAGAACTCAGTACCGACCCTTCAGCCGAACACCGACGGACACACAGACTTTTCAGGTATCATAAATATGCATTTCTTTTGATGTTGAAAAGCCAACACACGTCTGTGAATTTCTTCTTTGGCAACTTCTAAACATCACCCCAGTAAATAGCTTTGAGCTTTAACTACGGAGGCGTTGTTCTTGGTTTTCTTTCTTATTTTTGGTTGGTCAATTTTTGGGATGCTGTTCCTGGAGTTGCTCAGGCCCTGCTGGTGTCAAACTTCTAACTTTGGGACAGACCTCTGCTGTGAAGACGTGGCTGGATGGAAATGGCAGCAGCCTGCACCGTTTTCGCCCTCCTCTTTCTGGAGTTGCAGCAGACCAGGTAGAAGATCTCCACCACGTTGAACAGCAGAGAGACACAGGACATGACCAGCATGAAGATGATGAAGATGGTCTTCTCCGTGGGTCGGGACATGTAGCACTCCACGGTGAAGGGACACGGAGCGCGGGAGCAAACGATTCTGGGGTCCATGACGAAGCCGTACAGATAGTACTGCCCCACGATGAAGGTCAACTCCAGGAGGATTCTGAAGACGATGGAGGTCATGTAGGTTCCCAGGAGGTTGCCGTGAATCTTGACGTGACCTTTCTCATCAGAGTACTTGGGCTGTTTGGTGATTTGGTTCGTGGAGTGGGACTCGATGTATTCTCTAAGCTTGTTTTCCTTATGAATGACGTGCAGGACGTGGCCCAGGTAGACCAGGGTCGGAGTGGAGACAAAAATGATCTGAAGAACCCAGAATCGAATGTGTGAGATGGGGAAGGCGTGGTCGTAGCAGACGTTTTTGCAGCCGGGTTGTTTGGTGTTGCAGATCATGTTGGACTGTTCATCACCCCAGACCTGTGAGAGTCAAGAGAACACAGTCAGTACTGATGGACGGGATGTGACCCAGACACACTCTACATTTCCTTCTTTATTTGTAAAGAAGGAAAAACATGAACTCCTTCATTTACAATCTATTTTTTTTTTGGATGATTCTTTTCATCTGATCTTTCTAGTTCATTGAGGTGTCAATCAATTTGTCCCGATTTCTCTGGAGTTTTCTGGAACACACCGTTAGTGTGTCATAATACATCTCCAAATCTCCAAACCCTCAGAGCTTCAGTTGATAATAAATCTCCAAACCCTCAGAGCTTCAGTTTTCAGAGCACAGGGTTAGGGTTAGAGAACCGAATACTCGGTCACGTGTGGACGTCACACCTTCTCCGCTCCAGCTCCGATGACCATGATCCTGAAGATAAACAGGACGCTGAGCCACACTTTCCCGATCACAGTGGAGTGGGACTGGACCTTGTCCAGGAGAGAAGACAGAAATCCCCACTCTCCCATCGTCTCTGAAATATCCAAGAATTGAAAACAAAATTATACAATGACAAATTTTATCAGTGTTTTTAACAGCCAAAATGAAGCGGGGGAAAAAACAACACAACTCCCCCCAAAAAATTACATTTAGATCAAAGAAACAATGTTTATGTACTTAAAAATGATAAAAACTGAAAAATTTAAAGTAAAAAAATAAACATACAAATGAAAGCAGATTTAAAAACAAATTGAGCCAGAGTTCTGACAGAATCGTCGTCTCACAGCGGCTCAAAGTCGACCAGTGAAAGTCGACCAGTGAAAGTATCGTATTGTAAAATAATTCATAATGGTCACGAGATAAAGAAGGAACTATAAAAAAAAAAAGATTATATAACCAAGATTTGTCTGGAACCGTTCCTGATCAACTGCTGCACCTACAAACCACCTGCAGTAAAAGTTACATTTAAAAAATCACAAAAGAGTGAATTTGATGCATGAAAAAAAAGAATCTAACAGAAATATTTGTATTTGTTCCAGGTTAACAACTTGATTAAGCTGTCGACAAGTAAAAAAGGAATTTTTAAAAATATTTTTTGTTTTTGTTCAAATACATGAAATGATCCACTCATTTAAAGAGGCAGGAGCTGCCAGTGTCGTTGACTTGATTGATTATTACTATTGATTATTTCTTAAATCATGACTTATTTTTATGAAAATAAAAAGTCTTTCCCAGCATCTTTACCTTAAACTCTGACAGTCAGAACGGTGCCGTCGTCACCGGAGCAGCAGAATGATTGAAGCGCTGCAGTTCTCCGCTGCAGACCTGCCTCTGATACCTTGAACTTTAGATTAGATGATGTTGTGCAAGCAGTCGTGAGCAGCGTCACGTTGTCAGGACATTTGACCGTGATAACTCACTGATTTTGGGCCGAACCACTGAAAAGTTAGCGGGTTAATGATTAACACAGTGATAAATCCACACACACAGATGTTTTTAAAAATAAATATCACAGTTGTTTCCCAGTCATTGGATGGATGTGATGCAGACAGGGGGCGCTGGGTGCAGCCTGATTACTGGCTGATCCATTAACTGATACCGAAGAGTCACATGTTATAATATAGTTGTATTGATGTATAACCCATATTTTACTGCGTCAGGTCACTACTGTACCACACCTTTATGAAGTATTACTACGTTAAATCACCTTTACTGCACTAAAGTATGTGTTAAAAATACTGATAGTATTTTTTTCTTTTTTTTTCCTTTCATTTTTTATTCATCAGTGCAAATCAAATGACAAAAGTTAAAGATGTTTTTAGTTACTGATTAGCCAAAAAAGCTAATAATCAGGAGGTAGACATTTAGCTAAATATGACCAAAAGATAAAAGTTTCGCCAAAATCCCAGCTATAATATCATTAATGACCAATAATGTAACTAAATGTAACTAAATGTAAACCCAGAAAAATTAGCCATAAAAAATAACTTCACAGACGAAAGATAAAAAAAAGGTGAAAAGTTTCATTTATTTAATGTTATGGTCAAAATAGATACAGAGTAAACTATTAAATTAAGTGTGTTTCTTTTTAAAGAATAAATTAGTGATAGGAAAAAAGTAAAAGTAAACTGAGATATGACTAAACATTAGTCCAACCTGTGGTTAACGTTAGCCAAAAGGCCAAAGGTCAAGTCTGAGTAAGCACAGAAAAACCTGCAAAACGTAGGCAAAAAAAAAGAAAAAAGCTTCAGTTTCCTTGAAATAAAAGACGTGAAGAAAAAACATTTTTAACTTTAACTTTTTATTTAATAAAAACAGATACAAACAAAAAAGTCTCAACATTGTTTTTCATCATCATTCTCCTCGAAGCGAATCATTCCCAGTCCTCCGACGTGTCAATAACTTACAGGACACACAGGTCCGCTCTCATGTACAGAAAAATACAGTAATGATCAGTATTGCACGCATACATTTTTAGATTCATTTCTTAAAAAAAAAAACACGAAAAAAAAACAAAGTAAAGTAAAGATTGTTGCTCAAAGGTTCTCGGCAGCAGACGCTGACACAGCGTTTTGTTTGTCATTTGTATTTCGTTCCTGTTTTATTTCAGTTTTCTTTTTATGTAAAAACGTTGACAGAACATTAGAAAAATTGATTTCATCATTTGTGTTTCATTAATGACTGCTCAGTAGCCTCTTCTCCTCTTTAGCGCCATCTAGACTTCCTCCAATACTGTGGTTGCTCTGCAGCTCCATGTTCAGACTGTTCTGCATCTGTGCGTCCTGCAAGTTCGGCCACTGGGGGCCCGACAGGGTTGCCGGGTTCTCCGCCGACGTGACCTTCAAGTTCTGCTTCTTGGAACGGCATCCGAGCCTGGTGAAGAGCAGGTAGAAGATCTCCACCACGTTGAGGAACAGGGAGATGCAGGCCACCACCAGCATGAAGATGATGAAGATGGTCTTCTCCGTGGGTCGGGACATGTAGCACTCCACGGTGAAGGGACACGGCTTCTTGGAGCAGGGGAACATGGGCACCATGATGAAGCCGTACAGGTAGTACTGGCCCACGATGAAGGCCGCCTCGATGATGATCTTGACCATCAGCTGGGTCAGGTAGCTGCCCAGCAGGTTCCCCTTGATGGTCACCTTGCCCTTGGCGTTAGTGTATTTGGGCTGTTTGGAGGTCATGGGCCCGCCCGGGCTGGACAGCAGCTCCCTCAGCTTGTTCTCCTTGTGGATGACGTGCATGGCGTGGCCCAGGTAGACCAGCGTCGGCGTGGAGACGAAGATGATCTGCATGACCCAGAAGCGGATGTGTGAGATGGGGAAGATCCAGTCGTAGCAGACGTTCTCACAACCAGGCTGTTGAGTGTTGCAGATGAAGCCCGACTGCTCGTCGCCCCACACGCTCTCAGCGCCAGCACCCAGAACCATGATGCGAAACAGAAAGAGGACGCTCATCCAGACCTTTCCGATGACGGTGGAGTGGGACTGGACCTTGTCCAGGAGGGTGGAAAGAAATCCCCAGTCTCCCATCTTTACACTGAGCTGTGAAGAAATACACAGACGGAACCATGAACACCGATGCACTTTCTTTTCTTTTAAAGTTACTCTAGGTCAGTGGTTCCCAAAGTAGGGAGTGTGGCCCCGCTCAAGCAGCCTTGGGAATAATGCAGGGAAGTCCCAGCAAGAAAAAAAAATATTTTGATAATATTTCTTTTTGGAAAAACTCAAAAATGGTCCAGTGAAGGTTTAGATCACTGATCACGAAGAAGGAAAGAAATTCAAAAATGGTCCAGTGAAAGTTTAGATCACTGATCACGAAGAAGGAAGAAGGAAGAATCTTTTCCTTCTCAATATTTGTCCAAAGGAATCATTAATCAAAACATTGAACCAAAGCTTGGAGAGAAAAACCGCAGCGGCACAGTGACGAAGCAAAGAGGAGAAAAGATTTTCCAGTAAAATCTGTCAAAGTTACGGCTCGCAGACTAACAAAAAGAACGTAAAAAAAAAATCAGAATTAACAGTTGACTACATCAAAAATCTATCTTTGTTTCCGTTAGAAAATCAATTTACAAACATGACTAATTTCAACCAATCACTGAAGTCAAGCATATATTTCTATATTTTCTATATTTCATGCAGGAATGAAGCAGAGAAGAGAAAGGTCTGCATCTTACCTGCTGACCTGGTCAGAAACGACTGTCTCTGCTGGGACGAATCACTCACTGAAGTTGGACCTTGGAGTTTAGAGAAGGGTGAAGGCAACAAGCTGATGGGGGAAAAAAAAAAAAAAAAATTGCGCAAGTGTCAATGTCACGTCGATGCTAACAGCAGGTATAATAATTGACAGGTGTTCTCTATCTGGTCCCAGGGCTGGGAGTCCACTCTGCCTCTGGACTTGTCTTGATATAATATAGTAGGTGTAGTGTGGAGCCTTACATGCAGAGGGTCTTGGGTTCGAGCCCCATAGGGACCACATGTCTGTGATGGCGCCTCCTGTGGCAGCCTGTTTGGGTTTCTAAGACTTACACTGTGGTACGAATAAGGGACTCAAGTTGCCCCCCCCGCAGGACATCATCAGCATATATGTTTTTCAAGTTTTTTTTTATTACTAATTAAAAACATTGTTTTTCCACAAACTGCACTGTGACCTCGACAACAGACACTGACAGACCAAAAAAGGTCAAAAGGTCATTGTAGTTACATTCAACTCATCATCAGATCAACGTTTTTCTAAAGAAACATCTAAATTCATAATCAATAAAAAAAAAAAACTGTTCTACATTTTTTTTCTAAAACTTTTTTGGACTAAATTCACTGGACTTTCTCACATGTGA